CCCTGACCAGGAATCGAACCTGGGCTCCCTGCATTGGGAGTGTGGAGTCTTAACCACTGTACCACCAGAGAAGTCCCTAAGCAGATACTTTTAGAATAAATCTTTAAAATCTGAGAAAGAGGACTTCCCTGGTGGCACAGTGTTTAAGAATCCACCTGCCAATGCAGGGGACAAGGGTTCAATCCCTGGTCTGGGAAGATCTCACATGCTGTGGAGCAACTAAGCCCATGAGCCACAACTACTGAGCCTGTGTGCCACAACTACTGAAGCCCACATGCCTAGAAGCCCGTGCTCTGCAACAAGAGAAGCCACCACAATGAGAAGCCCACACACTGCAACGAAGAGTAGCTCCCATTTGCCACAACTACAGAAAGCCCACACACAGCAACGAAGACCCAACACAACCAAAAAATACATAAATTTTAAAAATTAAAAATTAAAAAAAAATCTGAGAAAGAAGGCGAGAGGGAGGAGAGAAAGAGAGAGGAGACAGATGGAGAGAAAATGGACAGAGAGAAAGTTGCAAGAGTAAAAAGATGCTGAATTCTGGGCTATACTAAAAGCGATAAGCATAGAGCCTAAGAAACAAAATATATTAATAATACAAGTAAATCAATCATGATTATTTGTTTATACTTATGACAAACAAATGTTTTGTTGGCTGTAGAGCTGAAACAACCATCCCTTCTCTCAGGTTTATGTGGTAGATAGAAATCACCTTAACATTCCATTTAATCCAACAAATACTTATTAAGCCTGGCTTCTGTGTCAAAATGTGATAGTAAACAAGACAGACATGGCTCCTGCTTCACTAAGCTGATGAGACAGACAAAACATAAGTGAATATAATAACTACAACTCACAGATAAGTGCTATGAAGAAAGTGAGGAAATGAGCCATTATTATATCACAGGGATATCAGAAACAAGAATGTTCCAGAAAGGGAGAACAACAAGTGCAAAGGCCCTGAGACTAGACTCATTTAGCACATGTCAGTCAGTGGGCTGGGATGGAAATTTTGAAAGAGCAATTCACAGAAAATGGAGATGGAAAGAAAGCAAGAGACCAGGCCCAGCAATGTCTCCTCCTAGGCCATGGCAAGGACTTGGGATTTGACACTGGAGAAATGGGAAGTCTGGGACTGACAAAGCTACACAGCTGGTAGATGTATTTTAGTGCCCTTTACAATAGAGCCCATGATTTTATTTTATTTTTTTTAAATGAAAGGTTTATTCAGGGAGATACACACTCCATAGACAGAATGTGGGCCATCTCAGAAGGTGAGAGGCCCCAAGGTGTGGGGGTGGTTACTTTTTATAGGCTGGGTAATTTCATAGGCTAATGAGTGGGAGGATTATTCCAACAATTTTGGGAAAGGGGCAGAGATTTCTAGGAACTGGGCCACAGCCCACTTATTGGCCTTTTATGGTCAACCTCGGAACTGCCATGGCTCCTGTGGGTGTATCATTTAGCTTGCTGATGTATTACAATGAGGGTATACTGAGGCTCAAGGTCTAGTTGAAATCAACTTGTCCACCATCGTGGACCTAGAGCCCATGGTTTTAAATGGCAAGTTTTATTTTCTACCACAGAACCATTCAGAGTGGGAGACACATAGATTGGACTGATTGGGTTTTAGGTTCTCAAATTTTAAATTATTTTTATTAAAAAACTGTCATTCATGGAACACAACGCAAATGTTACCAAAGGTCTTCCAGTGCAGAGTAAGATTCCTTCCCACCTCTGATCGCATGATCCCAGCCACCCACCTCCCCACCCCTCCCACAAGTCTCTTCCATGGCCTTAAGGGAGTTGGGTTTTAAGACAACATTCATTCACCAGTATTTATTGAGAGTCTACTCTTTGCCGGAGCTGTGTTAGGTACTGGAGACCTGATAGACTGAGATGGAGTCTCTGACCTCTCAAAGCCTATTGTCTAAAATAGTGGTCCCCAACCTTTTCGGCACCAGGGACCAGTTTCATGGAAGACAATTTTTCCACGGATGGGGTGGGGGGTGGGGAATGGTTCAGAGCAATGGAGAGCGATGGGGAGCTGCAGATGAAGCTTTGCTCCCTAGCCCGCAGCTCACCTCCTGCTGTGCGGCCTAGTTCCTATCAGGCCTCGGACCACTATAGGTCCGAGGCCTGGGGGTTGGGGACCCATGGTCTAAAAGACACGGGAAAGGTCTTAAGGTTTCATTCACAAATATATATATATATATATATATATATACACACACACATATATACACATACATATACATACATATGTATACACACAATTCAGAAAGTCTTTCTAAATAAATACCTTATTTTCCAGAACTCTCTGTGTGGGTAATGAAGAGCTGTTTGGGGAACTTAATACTTTCCTAAGTAGGGAGCTCTCTTTAGGGAATTTATAATTGTTAAAGAATTTTTTCTCTTGGCTAAACCAAAATCTTTTTCCCATTTATACTTCTTGTCAAATATGTGAAGGCAGTTTCCGCTTGTCCAGTAACTACTAGACCTCGATGAAACAAACTTAGTCCTTTTAACCTTTTCACACCTAACATGGTTTCTAGTTCTCTCTGTAGCCCACTTCTCCTCTACACATATTTTGGCATGACAATGAATGCCTTTTTTTAAAAAATAAATTTATTTATCATACACACATATATATATATATATATATATATATATATATATATATATATATAAGGTTAAGTCAGGCCTCAAAGTAAATGAGAAAGGTTTTCAATTCCAAAATACTCACATTCTCTTTAATATATCTTAAGAGCTGTATAGGGCATCAAAGTTAACATTAACATGTTTGGGGCCATGCAAACATGCATTTCAAAGCAATTTTCTATTCTGAATATGAAAACTCCCTAAAATAACTTGGTGTTCTTCACTAGTCTAGCCCTGTTCAATCAAAAATAAATATTTAATAAATAAAAAAGGAAAAGTCCTAGATTATCTCAGGAAATCTACATAAGAAAAAAACTAATAAGGCACAAGAATGTAATGTACAGCATGGTAACTACAGGTAATGATACTGTATTGCGTATTTGAAAGTAGCTAAGAGAGTGGATCTTGAACGTTGTCATCGTGAGAAAAAAAATGTGTAACTATGTGTGGTGATGGATGTTAACTGGACTATTGTGGTGATCATTTTACAATATATACAAATATCAAATCATTATGTTGCACACCTGAAACTAATATAATGTTATACGTCAACTCTACCTCAATTAAAAAATAAGAATTAAAAACACCTAAATTCTGTTTCAGGTGTGCCTTTGAATTCTGTACCAAGGGAATGTATTACTTATTCAAAAAATACAATTAAAAAAAATTAGGGTACAGATTGTTTAAATGTTCCCTTGAAAGTAGGTTGGGGGGAGTTTGGGATTGACATGTACACACTGCCATATTTAAAATGGATAACCAACAAGGACCTACTGTAGAGCACAGGGAACTCTGTTCAATATTCTGTAACAACCTAAATGGGAAAGGAATTTGAAAAAGGATACATATATATGTATACCTGAGTCACTTTGTTGTACACCTGAAACTAACACAAAATTGTTAATCAACTATACTCCAATATAAAATAAAAAGTTAAAAAAAAAAAGTAGGTAGAGGGGATGTAGGGCTCTGCCTCCACTATGAAGAAAGGCAGCCATAGTGTGGATAAAAGGACCCTGGGGTAGCAGGCAGTAGTCCCTGGATTCTAATACCAGATCCCCCCTGACTAGTGTGGAACAACTAGCCAGTGATTTCTCCACCCAGCTTCAATTAAATCAACCAGCAAATGAGGATGAACACATTTCTACCATTAGACTGTGAGATGAAAGGAAGCCCTTGCCTTTCTTCTCTGATGAATTCCTACTCATCCCTGAAACATTAATTCAAACATCATCTCCTCCATGAAGCCTTCCTATACTTTGCTGACCAGATGAAGTTAGTGGCTCCATCCTCTGGGTTTCAAGTGAAAGGTCTCCAGCATTGCCCCTACTTCTTTCAGTTTCTCCCAGAGCTAGAAAGTTGTCTTTGAAGCTTCCAGGGGGCTACCCTTTCACAATTAGGAGTTCAATAAATACTTGCTTAATGAACGGTAAATGAATGATACATTACCTTGTCTGCATTTGTATACGTAACGTGATTCTGCAAAGAATGTAAGACATGAAGTATCTTTCCATTAACAAATGGCCTTGGGATGTAAAATCATCAACAATACAACTACTATCCTTTTTCTTTTTTTTTTTTTTTTCTGTCAAAAATTTTCAATCCCATTGGGGTATCTTTTCTATAAGAAAATGTTTTTTAACAAGTCGGCGGTGGGGCAGAGCTCCCTATACCTTACAAGCCTTGTTTTCCTCTTTAGCTAGTACCTGGCTCTTTAAAATGCCTTAAAATGCTCAACAGATGTTTGCTAAAAAAATGAGTTATCGTTTTAAAGCTTTAAACGATCCAAGACAAACTCAAGCCTTCACGGGCTCTTTCCAAGACTGGATAGAAATATTTTCATGGGATTCAGACGAGGAAAATAAGTAAACGTGGATAATAAAAGACACTCCTGTATAGTTACAGGCGGGTTAGTTTGGCTTTTATCAAAATTTTCCTTCATAAAAACACCAAGAGAGCCGAGATCTGGGGTAATTTTCGGGGTTCCCTCCCGCCTTCCTGTCCGCTTCTCCGTGCTTTCTAAACTGCCCGTGGAGCACTGCCTTGCCACAGCGAGGTTTCCATTCTGCGGCCCTGGGAGCCTAGTCCAGCAGGAACGCTGAGAAAGCTCCCGAGCAGCCTTGATCCGGGCGCCGGGACCTTTCAGCCAGCGGAAAAGAATCACCTGAGTCCCAGCCTACCAGCTCGGCCATGCGGCGGCATACGCCAACCAGGACTGTAGGTCCACTAGGACCTGACGACACTGGAACCCGGCGCCCCGGGCGTGGGCGCAGCGGAACATAATAGCTGACGTACCGCCTCGCCGCGAGGCCCGGCGGAGAGGCGGAAGTTGAGGGTGCTGACGCAGCTGGGGGAACTTTGGCTCCATGGCACCTTCCTGTCCGCGACTCCGCCCCCGCCAGAGGAGCTAGGTTCCGGAATTCAAGATGGAGGCGCTGAGTCGAGCTGGGCAAGAGATGAGCCTAGCGGCCTTGAAGCAGCACGACCCCTACATCACCAGCATCGCAGACCTCACGGGCCAGGTCGCACTGTACACCTTCTGCCCCAAGGCCAACCAGTGGGTGAGTGCAGCCAGGCCGTTGAAGTCACCCGCCCGGCCGCCGCCTCTTAAAGGGGCCGCGCGGACCGTCCTGGGTGGGGGCCGATGAGGGAGGCCAGGGCGGCAGGGGCGAGGCCAGGGACTGGAGAAGAGTCCGGCAGGCGCCTGAGGGGTGTCGGCGGAGCCGGAGATTGGGCGAGAGGAGCGAGAGAAGTAGGTCCAAACATCCGGGGGAAAAGCTGATAGAGGGGAGGGTTGGAAGAGAAACACTCCCATGGGGTCCGGTTGGAGGATGTGGGCGACTTGCCTTTTTTTGCAGGTGTGTTAGAGGATATGAGACCGGTGGAGTCATAAAGATGCCTGAAAGATTGTGTTTGAAGCTTTGAGGGTTATTAGATAAAGTATATTTACATAATCTATAAAATAAACACTCCTCTCCCCCCAATAGACACATAAATAAGGGCTCCCTTCTCAGAGGTCATTTGGATTTAGAGCTGGAAATCCAGTTAGTTTCAATTATTGGAAGAGAGGGGTTGGGGATAAGTCCCGCATTTATCGAACTACACTGTATTTCCAGAGTTTGGAAAAGATTTCAAGGCGCTTAGGAAAATGACTTCCATGTTAATTGGATTACCTTGAAACCTTTGGAAAAGAGACCCTGTGTCTGTTCCAGCAATGCTGCTGGTGATGTCACCTCTGAATGCTCCCATCAGACTTAAGTACTTTTAGTCTTTTTTGCACGGGAGAGGATCCGAAAAGTTGCCTTCAGTTTGTTCACTGACTTGTTAACCCGTTTGAAGCTTCGTCCGTTGTTTAAATAACATAATTAGGGAATTTCCTGGCGGTCCAGTGGTTAGGACTCCGCACTTCCGTTGCAGGGTGCCCGGGTTCGATCCCTGGTCGGGGAACTAAGATCCCACAAGCCGCGCAAGTGGCCAAATAAATAAAGGTAACATAATTTCCCTTAAAAAAAAAATTGAACCTTCTTGATTAACTTATTCAGCTATATAGGCTTTACTTAGGAAATAATCTGTAAATGTTTGTTGGATCGAATTAATGATTGACGTTAACGTTTCAGTAAGAATTGAAATCTTTATACTAACAAAACTGAAAGATTATTATCGTAGTATGTCCTTTACAACAGTGCAGATACATAGGTTATAGTTAATTAGTAATTTTGTGAAAAATCATTTGGCATTTATAAACAGTTAATTCAGATAAAGAGAGTTTTCAAAGTCATCTTGCTTTCCTCCACCTCCTGTAAGAGAAGGAGGTATGGGAAGCTAAAGAGAACAAAATTATAGATTTTTTTTTAAGTGTGGCTGTTTTAGACATTGCTTTAGTTTGAATCGTTCTGAATCATTTTTCTTGCTCTATGTATGAATTTTTGTAATATGGGTTGCAGACAAATGGTGAAGATTTGGGGCATGAACTTATTATTTGGGGCATGGACTTAGGCTTTTATTTCTAGTTTGTCACAGACTTCCAATATTTTGGGATTTTAATTGTGTTGTTCTCCTTTAAATATGAAATACAAGCTATAATAACCTGAACTGAAAAATAAGCTGCCATTATTCATTTGGGTCATGGCACATGGAGTATAACCAAAGTCTCTTCCCTCATTGTTATTTTACAGTGAGTTGTAACTTTGCACAGTGGTTTATTTGGGCAAGTTTTCTTTCATTGTGAACCAGTTGATTACCAATTTCTTGAACTAATAAAGTTTGAAAGGCAAGAAAAAGCCTCTGAATTTTTAATAAGGAAAAGTTTCATTATGATATTTAAGCTAGGGCAATACTCCTGGAAGAAATCAAGATGGTAAATATTTTTTTAAATTATTTTTTCATCCCAGCAAATTCAGTTTTATATGGCTGACATTTAAGTGTGCTAAGTTTGTTGATTACATTAAACCATTTAGGTCCTATCTGGGCTGTGAACTGTAGACTAATGTATTTCTTTTGCTTTTTTAAAAACATTGTAACTGTGGTTTTGTTTGTTTGGTTTCTTTTGCGGTAAGCAGGCCTCTCACTGTTGTGGCCTCTCCCATGGCGGAGCACAGGCTCCGGAAGCGCAGGCTCAGCGGCCATGGCTCATGGGCCCAGCTGCTCCGTGGCATGTGGGATCTTCCCGGATGGGGGCACGAACCCGTGTCCCCTGCATCGGCAGGCGGACTCTCAACCACTGCGCCACGAGGGAAGCCCCTGTGATTGTGTTTAAAACCTAAATACGTTCTTGTCACAGCAAGTGAAAGATGATGAGTTGTACTTTGTCAATCAAAACATTTACTTTAAGCTAAAAAAAAGTTTTTAATTATTTATAAGACCTATAAGAATTACACTAAGACAGAGTATAGTTTCAATATTCATAACTCTTCAACACAGTTTTAAAAATAACAAACTAATTGTGTTTGACAGTAACTCAACTAAATTTTCTACAAAGTTTGCTACTCATAAAAGTATACCAAAATCTCCCAATGATGAAACAAAGTGTCCTATAAGAAAATGTTTTTTTTTCCCCCTAGTAACTTTGATAAACTTTAAAGGTGAAGAAATTGCTGTATACAGGACCTTGGCTTTAAAATTAAGAAATTTGGCTAATACATTTTAGTTTTAAAAAGTGAAAGCTAATTCTAGAATTTTTCTTCTTTTAATTTTAAAAAAGGAAAGGGAAATTGCTACAGATACAGGCGTGTTGCTAGATAGAACATTGCATATCAGTTAATACACATCAATAGAATAGAAAGGATACAAAAGAAACTGGAAATAGTAGTCTGTGGAGAAGACCTCCTTGACCTGTTCAAAGTGATTAATTTTAAAATAAATAAGTTGATCTTAAACATGAAGTATTTTTTCTCCATTGGGACTACTTGGGGTTAGATTATGGGGAAAAAAACTAATTGTCTCATTTTCTGTTACAGGAGAAGACTGATATAGAAGGGACCTTATTTGTATATCGAAGGTAAGCTTTTTAAAACAAAATTTTTTTAATTTTTTTTTTTTTTTTAATTTGATGGTGAATGGTGTCATATGGAGTGATTCAACCCTAATGTATATTTGTCTTTGGGACCTTCCTGCTTGACCCTTCAAGTATGCATCCATCCCTTGCTGTGAGATCCTTACCAAGTAATGTCCTTTCTTTGACACTTCCTGTGATTCAGAATCAAACAGAACTAGAATTTATTTAGGAACCTAGCAAAATGGAAAACATTTTCTAGTAATGAATGAGTCTAAAGCAGTTGCCTTTCTCCCTCCCCCCATATTAAGAAAAATAGAATACATTGAGAAAAATAGTTGAGAAAAAGAGAATAGATGGACTAGCTGTTGTGTGATTACTAAACAAAAAATTATCTTCTAAGACTCTGGTTTTGTCCCCTTTCCAATTACCCCCAAAAGTTTTGGATTGTGTCAGTGTCTGTAGTAATATGTATTTTTAGTTTGAGAGTCCTTTAGAAAGCCTAGATTATTCATAATTACACATTTTTTATTTTTAACTTTTCTGAGAATTATCATCTTAAAACATGATTTAAAAAAATGATTGGTTTGTAAATGCAGCTTGTGTTTTGTTCGGCAACTTTCTTGGCCTAAAGGCAGCTGACAGGGTATGTTAGTCATTGGAGTTCCTTGTTTTCCTGGATCCCTCTTAGGTCTTGCTCTGACTGAGGTAGGTTCCTTCCTTTGGTTTCTAAAGCTTAGGGAACTCAGCAGGAGTTATTACTGATACCTGGTTCTTTTCCTGTGTGTGTGTATTGTGAGTTATCTTTTATGGATTGCCTTTCTCCATTTCTCCACTGATGGTTATTAACAAGAATTTGTCAAATATTCTTCTAAATTTTGCTGTACAACTTTGAGATCTTGTCTAAAAATACTGATCTTTTTCTTCCTTTAAATGTATGTGCTTTGATGTTACTTTTTATTTTTTGACATTTTGTTTGCTGTTATTCATCTTTCTCCTTTAAAAAAAAACCCTTTACCCTTCACCTACTTCATTAGTCTTCATTACCAATATAAATGTCTAGAAGCTCTTCAACTGTTGTTAGAATGTTGGTACTTGCAAAGTGCTTTGCTGGCCTTATTGTTACAGTAGGGTACAGATCTACCGGTTATAGAAGATGAAATTTAGTTTAGTGAGCGACTTGATTTAATGAAATTTATGGAGGCTTACACAGTATTGATTCTAATAAAAGGAGACCAGAGAAACTCTATTTGGGAAATGTGAGAACATTTTATATACTTTGGATAAATATATACCAGGATGTCAGAATGTCGATTTGGAGAGACCTTAGTATAAAAGAAGCCTGGATTTGGAATCAGAAAACCTAAAGGATTCAGCGAAACAAGTGTATACAGAGAAACAAGTGAGAAACCGTAAAGTGTTGTATACAAGTGAGAAATATCTAAAGGATCGTATGCTGAATCATCCTGATATGAGAACCAAGGGTGTTTCTTATTGTAGGATTCGAAGCATTTTCTTTGTAACTCAGGTTTTTCCATAGTTCTCACATTTGATGTAAGAAAAATCATTGTAATGGTGGGAATAATTATAACCAATCCTGCAACATATTTAAAATAAATTATATTTTTATTGAGCATATGTTTATTAAACATATACTATATGTCTGTCTTGGGACATATCTAAAAAAATGACAACCCTATTTGCATGGAACTTACAGTTTAGTGGAGAAGGACAATAAATACAAAAAGTAATAAATGGTGTGGAAAAGGAGAGAGGAGGATTAGAGGTATTGAGTTTGGGAGCATTGAAAAGGGTAGTTCTCTAGTAGGCCTCAGTGAGAACAGGACAGTTTACCAAAGGCTTGCGGGAAATGGGATAACTCTAGATTCTGGGCCAGTGGCCCAGGCAGAGGTCTTTAGGTGGAAACATACCTGTAGGAAGAATGGCAAGGAGCCCAGTGTGGCTGGAGCAGGAGGAACAGGGAAGAGGCATAGGAGATGAAGTCAAGGGGGTGCACATCACCTGAGGCCTTGGTGGCCTTAGATAGGATCTTGGTCTTTACTCTGATGGACCGAGAAAGCTTCTGAGAGGAGGAGGGGTATGATCTGACTTAGATTTTTTTGTTTACAATTTTAAGTGCTAATAATATTATATAATGCAATATTGTATTCATTCTTTAAAATGGAAATAAAGAGGTAGATAACATTTCTGCAAATGAACAATGACAACAGATTTTTTTTTTCTTCTATTAAATCTAAGGTCAGCTTCACCTTACCATGGTTTTACCATTGTGAATCGACTGAATATGCGCAATCTAGTTGAACCAGTGAATAAAGACTTGGAATTTCAGCTCCATGAACCATTTCTACTATATAGAAATGCAAGCTGTGAGTATCTATCTGTTAATTACAGTGCATATGTTTGCAGTTAAAATTGAGTGACTTCAGTTTCTGTCAGCACATTATTCTTGGAAATTAAACGTGCAATAAAAAATATGGTCTGTACTCTTGTGGTTATAAATGAGTCTCTTAGTAAGATCAGAGCTTTCAAATGGGGCTTCTAAAATTGAAACACTCTTTTGTATACAGTAATTTATTACATTATTTTAGTTAACTATACTATATATAGTTTAGTTAACTATTCTATATAATAGCATTACATTATATTCCTATTGTTTGTTCTCTGAAAATAAGTTTCACCCTTTGTTTTTGTTGTAACATATATTATTGGCTGCCCATGCCCCTGAGCAACAGAACTTAGTTTAAGAGACACAGGACAGATACTGATATTTCTGTCCACAAAGAAAGTACTATCTTTGCCCTGATTGTGGTATTTTTCGATCTGTTTATTTAGTTGAGTATCTGTTGGGTACAAGTGCTGGGCCAAGAGCTATTGTACTTTAACGTTAATAATATAATAACCTATGGGGTAGGCAGGCAGTTAAGTCAGCTGAGACTCTGAGGTGAGTGGCGGCTATTCAGTTGAAGAGTGAGGATTGTAACCCTTTTTTCTGCTTCCTAGTCCAGGGTCCTTTCAGGCATTTTATAGACTCTAAAAATGGTTGGGTGTGGTCAGCAAAGCTAGAGTGGCCCTTTCAAGAAGGAAAGCACTAAAAAGTGTACCTGGTTCCTGTACGTCAGCATGGGTATTGAAAGTATAAGTGTTTGAGGACAGAAGACAGGCGATTTGTTTGGCATTGATGGTAGGGATATCAAAACTGGTTATGGTGGTAAGGTGATTGTGCTGTAACCATCATCTAAGGAGATTGCTGGAGATAACTTTGCTCCTTAATTAAAAGTTTGAATTTCACTTGACTGGGAGGTAACTGGTATTGGGGGAATGTCTTCAGTATAAACTGTAAAAAACTACTAGAAATTATGCATCTTTTCATTCCCTGAATGAGAAATGACAAGGTCTGTGTTGAAGCTAGAAACCCCAAATTCTTCTCTGTAGCTCACTTTTAAGCGAAATAAAATCTGTCTCTTGACTTTTCAGTAAACTATTTGTCCAGATAATTATCTCTCTTAGATGGCTTGAATGGATTTATTTAAACTAATGTTACAGTAGAATTACTTCAAATAGCTGTTTTCTTTATGCTGACCATTCTGTTAAAGGGGAAATTCTGCAAAGTAACACAGATCCAATTTTTTTTTTAAGGAAAATTGGTTTAATTCTGCTTTTTATTACCTGAAAATTTAATCTAGCTATTGCCTCTAAGAAAAGTTTGATTAGTAAAGTAGTCAGTAGGGGAAATTATCAGAGGCCCATGGACTTGATTACCATTTAGCATAAGCCTGAAGTGAATCTCATTATATTTCTTTAACAAGTAAAGTTTCCTTTGAAGTTGAAAGTGCAAGATAACACAAATATAAGTGAACCACGATTAACCAAAAATTGTTTTAAATTAATTTTTATTGGAGTATAGTTGATTTACAATGTTGTGTTGATAAAACAAAATTTAATCGGAGCCTAAAATATCTGGAAATAATTCTGTAGTCCATGTGTGGAAGAAATGAAAGCAAATTGTAAAAAAAAGCAAGCTAATGTTAGATTTTATTTTGTGAAAATCTAGTAAATTTCTCATGTGTTACTTGGGATCAATACTATAACTTTAACCGCACTATAGTGTCATAGATTGATTTGCTGTAATGTTAAGACCTTAAATCGTCAGGAGTGTTTTTTATATTAATTAGAATATTCTTGAGGGAAAAAGTGCACTACTGCTTTTTATTTTAGAAAGATTTTCAACAAGAGGTTGAAACAAAGGTTTCCTTAGTTAAACAGAAGATTCACTTAACCAGGTCATTCCCTTCCTCGGTTAATTGAGGCACTGAATCATCTCAAGGGCCTTACAGTTTCTGATATTGCTAATTAGAAATTCAGGAGCACATCAGTTTGCTTTCAGACCAGAGAAAAGCCTGAAAAGGTCAAGCACAATACTGTGGATATATTAGAAACAGTCCAGAGGAGGAGCTTGGGGAAAGTATTTAAAGGAATAGCTGTATCGGGGAGAAGTGACAAAGGCAGCATAAAGTGATTCTGGGAGTGTTGAGGCCTCTCTTGAGTATATGTTTTGTCTACCTAGTCTTAAAAGTAAAAAGTAGTCTTGTCAGGTCAGCAGGCTATTGAGTTGTTTAGGGATTGTTCTTTAAATAAAAAGTTAATTAGTGTCTGATTGTGTATACAGGTAATTGTACATGATTCTGTAGCTGCTCTTCTGTTGTTTTCTTTTGGAAAATACCACCAAGACACCTGACCTATTTTACTCAAGTTACACCCTCAGATCTAGCCTTTTCCACTTAAATCAGTTTTTAGAGTTGAGAGAATATTAAGCTATAACTTTTTCCAGTTCTAAATTGTTTTGCTTTATATATATATTTTTGAGTGGTTTTTCTTGTTTGTTTGTTTTGGCCATTCTGTGCGGCTTGTGGGATCTTAGTTCCCCAACCAGGGATTGAATCCCAGCCCAGAGCAGTGAAAGCGTGGAGTCCTAACCACTGGACCACCAGGGAATTCCCTAGGTTTTCTTTATACACTCCCCACACACCCTAGCCCCACCACCCCAAGAGAAAGGTGAAATCTTACAGAGGAAATGCTTATGCCTTCCAGAAGCTTAGCTTTGGTGATTCTCTTGAACCTTTTGGAAGCAGTATATTTTTGTATACTGTGCAAGGACTTTGGGCAGCCACAAGACCCCAGTGAGGGTTGTGGAGACTGCACATTCTGTAGTTATTAAGCAAAAATGATGATCCCAGCACCTTATTTCTGATTCCCAACTTACAGATGAGGAAACAAGAGTCCCAGAGAAGTTAAGAAATTTGCTCAAGAGTCACAAAGGTTATAAGTGACAGGCAGAAGTCAAATCTAGGTCTCTTGAGCTTCAAAACCAATGTTCTTTCTACTCTGCTACAACAATAAAATTACTTCATCAATCCACATTCTAGAGCAGTGCTATCCAACAGAACTCTGTGATGATGGAAAGATTCTATATGGGTACTGTCTCAGATAGCAATCGCCAGCCAGCCACGTGTGACTGTTGAGCACTTGAAGTGTGGCTGGTGTGGCCAAGAAAAAGAAATTTTTTAAGTTTATTTAATTTAATCAATCTGCATTTGAATAGCCATACGAGACCAGTGGCTACCATATTGGACAACAGAGGTCTAAAGCATGGATCCATGCAGAAACACACCCTTTTGTTATGCCATACCTGAACTGAACAAGCACTTGGGAAGCTTTAGATTAGATTTTTATGCCTCTCATTTAGTAATTCCTTTTTAAAATTTACAAATGATTTCTAGATACAAAGGCTGCAGAAGATATCCCTGAGGGTGGCTTTGCCATGGTAACACTCTTCTGCGTGGAATTTAGTTTGCAGACAAGAATTCTATTCTAGGCTTTGCCATTTTACCAACTGTAACCTGGGATAAATCACTTAAACCACCTATCTGACCTGCTTATCTTAAGAGAGCACCATATATGTAAAGGTTTTTTGTCAGGCACTTACAAATATAAAATATTATAGACTTTGTCTCCATCTTGGACTTAAGCCAAATGATCTTATTAGTGGAAGAATCATAAAGACTTTAATATTATACAGGCTCTCTTATAACCTAGGCCCATAGTGTGCTTCTTTCCATCCCTTCTGATTAGCACCATGACAAGCTGGGAACTCTGTTTACCTATACATATATTACATTCAAATGTTGTGAGGGCAATTACTAGACAGCCTGAGGTATGATAAGTTGAATATATATAAATATATGTTAGGGCCTCCCTGGTGGCGCAGTGGTTGAGAGTCCGCCTGCCGATGCAGGGGACGCGGGTTCGTGCCCCGGTCTGGGAGGATCCCACGTGCCGCGGAGCAGCTGGGCCCGTGAGCCATGGCCGCTGAGCTTGCGCGTCCGGCAACGGGAAAGCCACGACAGTGAGAGGCCCACATATCGCAAAAAAAAATAAAATAAAATAAAATAAATATATGTTAAAGATGAGAAATCTTAGAGGCTACAAATTTTTTAAAACTCTGATCAGTGGGTCATGGTGTGCTGGAACACACAGCCCCCTCCTGGCTAAAATTTTGTAGGATAATGTAATGCTGTTTTAATCTGTGGACACATCTCCCTTAAAAACATTTATGATAGTTTTCATTTTATCTGTGATTAGTTGAAAAATCATAATTCTTTTGCTGTGTAAACATATGCATTACTACCAATCTGCTGATCTTCTGTTTTCATTTGTGAACAGAATCCATTTTACTAACTGGATTATAAAACCATTCTTTGCGAACTCTGAATTTCGAGGAGTTATGGCATAGGCACATCAAAGAAAAACTCCTGTCCAGCAATATGATGTCAGAAAATCTTCCTCCTATAAACACTTAGAAATGCTATATAAAATATTAAATGCATAGTATAGCCTGAAAGGGAATGGGGGCATTTTAATGGGTCAGCATCAAAGTGAAAACTGAAAGCCAAAGTGGGAAGCTTGTGTGCTGACACCAGCTGCCAGCTGGTTATAGGGTTCTTGGGGATAGGGAACGTTCCTTAACATAAGGACCCCATTATAATTACATGGGATCAGGAGACAAGACCTTGACCCCTCACGAGGTGGCTCATTGGAGCTGAGACGTACATACCAACGTTCACCCAGGTGCCCTAATGAGTTATATATTAATAAATTAGAAGGATATCAGAGATATCCCCGCGAACCTAGGGAGATGACAGGCAAGCTAATCTACCTCAGTCTAGGCTATGAGTTAGAGGGAAAATGTCTCCCCTGAAAATTTTAACCATGAGCTCTCTCATACAGATTTGAGATTCAAGTTATATCATTCATTTGGTATAATTTCTTACCCAGGCCAAAAAATTAACATAAAATTGATCATCAACTG